GCTTTGGGTAAAAAGAATAAGCTGTTAAGACGGGGACTGTTCCCAGCCCTTGATGTCTTCTAAAGAAGGGTGGAGACTGTCCCCCTCCTCCTCCTTTCCACCCCCTCCCACCAGGGTATTTTCCCCCTAAGCTCACCGGTCAGGGAGCTCACCGTGGTGACAGCCCCCGGAGATTGATGGCTCCCTTTCAAGGGAGTTGTGAAAGGCCAGACCAAGGGTGCCTGCTGGATGCCCGTCTTGCATATCAAACCAGGCTGCTCATTCACTACTAGCAGAGCCAGCTCGCCTTTCTCACAGCGACACACAATAGCACATGTGACTCGCATTCCTCATTCCTGCACCGTGTGATTTCAGCCGAGAGAATGAGCGAGTGGCTGGTGGGCCTGCTGGTCTGAGCTAGGCTGACAGAGGAGGCCAGAGCCTGCTGGCTGAAGAGCAGAGGCTGCGAGGCCCGGCGAGAACAGACTAAGAAGATGTTTGTCCTACCTTTAGCAGAAAGGGTGCGCAGTGCGTTTTTATAAAAAAAGGAACAGCAGTGAATCATTAAAATGTGACAGAGCGTAAAAAGGATGTATTCTGTACCCAATGGTTTACAAGCAATTCTCTGCTGTGCTATCCACAGCAGCCAGGACTTGGGTGTGGAAGCAGCAATGCAGGTCATGTGACTGGTAGTCGCAGCTAAGTGCAGTGTTTGAGAAGAGCGATGGTGCTCCCATTGGGGGATTCTTAAGGTGAGTGATGTGGCAGAGGATGGACTGACTATATTCTGAGGGCACGAAACAGAGTGCTGGGAGTTAACAGAGTAAAATCCCAGAGTGGACTATTGTAGGAGTGATAATTGCAGTTCTGTACATTAGTGAGAGCTGTGGGACAGTGACTGAGACGAACAGAACTGCCCAAAGGGCCTATCCCATGTACCCCAACCCTGCCCTGACCACACTGGTAGCCTCCTGTGTGCACTTGAAGGCAACTGGGAGCACTGGGAATGAAACTAATCGCTACTGAAGATCTGGAAAGGACATGAGTTGTGTGTCTGTTGATTCCACTAATTTATACAGTACTTACGAGTGAGTATTCCCTGCAGTTCTGAGTGGCCTTTCTCCACGCAGAGGTCAGGGGACAGATGGGTAATTGTCAGGAAGCGAGCGGCAGCAATCCGTCCTGTGGGCTGCACTGTGTGGAGCTCGGCTGCGCTGGAGAGGGGGTACAAGCCATTTGCCATCGGTGCAGGACGAGGAAGAAAGTGTGAGAGCTGCAGGAAAAACCTGCCCGCTGTGCTCCTTCCTTCTATTATCATTATTGCAGTCATCATCGTTATTATCGTTGTTATTAATAAGTGTATTCTTAGAAAGCAGGTCTCAGGAGACGCTGCAGCCTTCACATCTGCTCCTTCCCGCGCGTCTGCTGTGCTTGGCAGTACTTCCCAGCGACTCTGCCAGCACCACTCGCAACAAGCAAGGGCAGCACCACCGACCCAGCGGGCTTTCGCTTAGTGCAAAACTCTCTAATACGGACGCAACCCAAAGAATAACTCCTGACCGTTTTCAAACTGGTGGAATGAAATAAATGCTTCTACTGCTAGACTGAGGAACGCTAGAGCGAGGAATTTAATCCTAAATAAATGTTTGTGAGGAATTTCCACAATGGGACACCAAGGTTTTCTAACAGTGTAACAAGCCACATTGAAGGCATGCAAAATCTATAAGGAACCAGAGCAAATATAAGGTAATTAAGTAGATCTGCTATGATCATTTGAACATGTTGAAGTGCCCTCAAATTTAGGTAAGGGGTTCCCAAATCCTGGTCCTGGGTTCCCCACATCTGCTGCTTGTCCTTCCTGCATTGCTCTGTTACATCACTGAACTCTTCACAGACGTAAATAATAGGATGACTGCAATTTGGTTTTTGGTTCCTAAACATGTTGGAAGTTACTCTTTAACTACTGCATTTCATAAGCAGCTTAGGATATCTGGCTTTGGAGTAGAAAAGACAACTTGCAGAGGTTGATCAGCTTGCTAGGGCAGTGAATTGAAGAGTTTGGCTACATTAAAGACCCACCAGTGTGGGAGTCCGCTCCAAGCCGGGGCTTTGAACACTTGGTCTGGGCAATGCTTACTCTGAGTCTAGTCACTTATCGGGACCTATATTTCACAGGCTGGCAGCCCCTGGTTCGTTCAGCTTGATTATTGCAAAGCCGCTCACTTGAATTTAAATGTGGACTCGCACGGGGGGGAGGCAGCTGAGTTATTGTCACTGGCTGGTCATTTATCCTTTCGTGAGCAGTGGTTTGCAGGTTGTGTCAGAATGCTTTATCTGCCGGGTGATTTATCGGACTGTAGCTTCACCCTGTGGGAGCTGGCCGAGAACGAGGCTGGGTGAAAAATATCCACGGCGCTGTTAAACCGAGGGGTAAGGCAAAGGCGGGAGGAAGGCAGATAAAATATTGGCGAGAACCGCTGTCTGGTGGGCCCCTCCCATGATGGATGATAAGGCTGTGCGCCCCGTCTCCCCCCTCAATCCACACACACACCGGCCTGGGGGAGACGCTGCTGCCAGAGAGTGATGAGGTCGGTGTACCCACAGCACCCTGGGAAGACGGATCCTTGCATCCGATCGATGCTCAGCATGCTGGCAGCCTCCCCACCTCCAGTGGTTTCTCAAGCTATTAATTCTGCACACTGTAATTTCCTCTTAAAAGCCCCCTTTCTGTCCCTGTAGAGCATGGAGCAGACTAGAGATTAAAGAGCTCCTACTGTAGGTCTCAGAAATAGAACAGAGAGATAGGGACAGAGTGAGAGAGGTGGGCAAAAAAATTCAAGTCGTGTTGCCGGGTTTTCTCAAGCTCTGCTTCTGTTTTTCTAGAGTACACTTCATGCTATGAATATTAAGTTTTCGATTCCTTCTTTTGCAATAACTCCTGGCTCTCTGAAATAAAAGTGTCCTCTTTGGCTCATCTGTTTAAGTTACGGCACCAGTGCAAGCATGCCGAAAGCTAACATCGGCATAAAATAATGTTTTTTAATAAGCTGTTATATGCTCCTAGTTTAGAAGGGTTAGGACAGAAACACAGAAGGTGCCCTAGATACCATTGCTCAACAGTTCTGCTCCTTTATCACCTCTGTCCAGAGACAGTTTCAAGTGGGGCGCTGCATCTTTTAGATCCAGGGCAAATATTTCTAGTTGCAAATCTGGTAAGAATGAACAGAATGTTGGCATGAAAAATTGGTCTTTTTTTTACTTTGGAGGAAATAATTGTAAACGTAACAAGAAAAGCAGATCAAAGGTCAGCTGTGAGACCCACCACAATACTGCGGTTCTTGATCTGCTGTGCTCTGTTTGCACAGCTGAACCAGTTATCACTTCAGTCAGGACTGGGGTGTGACAGCAACAGTGTGCTGTTCTACACCACAAGTCTCACACTCCCTCCCACTGGTGACCAAGGGGCTATCCGGATTTACTTACAGCTTCAACTCCAGGATTGGGCTTAACTATTGGTTGTTTTATGTTATTAAATTTTTTCAGATTATTCTAGAATTGACTTTTTTAAACCAACATTTGGTTCTCAATGCTGTAGCTATTCTCCAGCCTGTCCAAGAGTTCATTTTCTCAATTTAATCAAATCACTTATCACGATCATGGTAAAATTTATTCCACGGCTCTTCTCTGAGGAGATAACTCTGATGTTTCTTAGTGTCAGTTTTAGTATGTCCTGTGTTTTGCCTTTTCGGTGTTCAGTGTGCTTTGAGATATCATGAAAGTCACTGTACAAGTTCAATCTCCCATTGTTATCCTTACTGTGAGATCCCAAGGCTGAATCCGAAGTCTGCCACTCTTGCCCTGCCCAATGCAGTCTTGAGGTCGGTGTCTTCCCTGTTCAAAAACGTGACAGCAGCAGCACAGCAGCAATGGTAAACTGCATAATAAGTGAGTAGGCCATTTTGAGTGCCTATAACGGCTCCAATGTCAGTAAATGAGATTAATACAGTTGTAACAGCACTCCTGCCATTCTTTGTTTAAATGCTGAGAGACATTAAGGGCGTCCCAGGCAGAAGGCTGCTTACTCATTGGTTGATTGGTTTCTGTCCATCCATGCCTGGCTGATGCTTCTATTTTGTCATTGTGGCAGGTCTTTGCTTCCTTTTGCTTTACGACAATTCGAAGAGAGCCAAGAGGCAGCAGAGCTCTGTCCTATCTCCATGTTGTTTGAGCTCTTACTGGGGGAAGAGAGGGCGGAGCACGTGAAAGTGGACGTTCTGGGCTGAATGTGGCTCAGTTCACAGAACCGCCCAGCCACTTTGTCACAAATGCTGAGACCGTATCAACGGCACAAAGACTTCAAAGAGTATTCAGGCAGCCTCTTAACTCCTGCCGGCAACTAGCATAGAAACATTCTGTAACATACAGTTTGACATTGGAAAACTGTATTTAAGAGCACGTTAATTTTACATGTACATGAAAACTCCCAGATTGTGTTTAGAGTCCCTAAATTGCTTAATTTCAAGGTTTAAAATTATTTTTGGCTGCTGAAGTCCTTCCCGTTACCCACAGTCATCATGAATCCGTCAGTGCTGTGGCTATAATCTCCGAAGGTTTACACCGCAGGGAAATAAATCCCTCCTGTGGAAAAGCTCTTCAATTTTTTTCAGCTGGAGCTGAAGGCATATTTCAAGTGTGCTACCTTGTATATTTTATGTTAATCTACCTTATTTAACCTGTATAGAAAAGTACAGTACAGTAAAATATTCAGGAGTTTTCGGCATCATCAGTACAACTTCTAAAAGAACCTATGGGTTATAAAACTTGAAATTAATTAGCCAGCAGTATACCTTGTGCCCACTGACTGCTGGGTTAGAATCCAGCTCACTGCCGCCAAACCCTAAATCAGGCTGATTGGGCTAATAATGTGAGTCGTGTTTGCTTTATGTGTTCTATATACTATACAAACTGCTTACGTTATGTTTTATATTACAATATCTGCTTATGTTGTGTTTGGTTTCCAGGATGGGTACTACTCCCACCGCCCTAAGGAGAAAGTGCGTGTGGACAGCAACAATGAGAACTCCGTGCCCAAGGACTTTGAAAACATTGACAACAGTAACTTTGGGGCGCGCTCCCAGCCGCAGAAACAGACCCCAAACAAACACAAGGAGAGGCTAAAGGAAAAGGCGCAGGCGGAGCACAACTGGAAAGAGAATTCCCTGATCCTGGGGAAGAATTCCAACGAGGTCATCCAGTACGGCGAGGCCAAGGGTGCAATACTGCCCCATCCTGGAAACAACCACACCCAGGGTCACCGGTCTGCGGGACTGCTCTCCAACCAGGCCCACCCACCCCTCCAGCCTCAGCAACGCCTGCACCCCCACCAGGGCAGGAAACCAGGGCCGGCCACTGCCTCGCCCGAGATCAGGTACGAGCCGCACCCCAAGTGCGAGATCACGGGCAAGGAGGCCATCTCCGCCCTGTCCCGTGCCAAGACGAAGGAGTGCCGCCAGCAGATAGCCGAGGTGTACTGTCGCCACAAGGAAGGGCAGCTCATGCCAGAGAAAGTCGCTCGCTACTGCCCTTTGGAAGGTGAGTTTCTCCGCTGCATCACCGATTTCATGCTTTTCTAAATTTTTTATTTAGCTGTCTTCACTCTTAGCCCCTTCCTTGTTGCCAGGTGTCTGAAAGGTTATATTAACAAGAACGCAGTCCAACTGCAGCGAGGACTACAGAGAAAATGAAGTCTATTTCTCCATAACTGGCAGAACTGTATCTGCTGCCTGGGTGAGCAGGTATTCCAGCGTGAGGGAACTGTGAACAGCCTTTTTGCGGTGGCTGCAACTGAAAATGGAGAAAATCAACAAGTGATTTGGTTCTTTTCTTAAATAGCCATGGGAAGCAATTACTGTGCATGAACTGTTATTCCTTTTAAATACAGCTCTCCAATGTTTTGCACTTAAAACTGATTGACGTTTAAATATTATTCCACCTACCCAAGCCAACTGAAAAATGTTCTCCAGGAAGGCTGCACCTAAAACACTTAATATCTGCAACCCCATGCCAGTAGGCGCCTTTTAATACAGAGCAGAATGATTAACGTTGAGCTCCATGCATCTTTAATGGGGTGTGCAGAGAAGGCACATCGACTTTAAGTCGCAGTTCTGCCCTCAGCATAGAGTAATGAGTCTGGTGGCAGTGCAGGCCAGCTGGTGCTGTTGTTGGGCGGAGAGAAGAGGGGGAAGAGAGGAAAGGGAAAACAGAAGGTAGAGGAGGACAGGGAATATTCTGAGAAACTGCACAATTTCCATATTAGAAAGCACCTGTAATATAGACTAAATTGTATGTATGATTCTAATAGTGACAAATCAGCGTGGTGGTTGACAATAGTTTGTGGATAGAACATTTCAAGATTAATTACATCTGAAAAATTCAGTCAATTCAGATCTCACTACAGGTGTCTCGGAGACCCGTTTGCACTAATCTCAGACGTCCTTGCCTCATTCGACATGTGATCATACATGGAACACGTACATGAAGGGCTGATGGCAGTCTGTTGATTAGGAAAAAGGCAAACCTGCCAGGAGAGATACAGCTGTGAATCAGGGTGGAAGGAGAGAGAGTACATCCCCCCCCCCCCTTGGGGCACAGGTTGTGCTTCGTATGGACCTATGCTCTGAGCCGCGGCCTGCAATCCAAACAAATTAAATTTCCCTTCTATTGATCAAATCATTTTTTAGCACGTTTTGGCACTTTAAATTGGCAGTCAGTAATTCACTGTCCTCTTTGAGCTTCCGACAAACTGTTCATCGAGCAGGGTGTTGAATCGCACCCCCGAAGCGCGCGCACACACACACACACACTCTGCAACGCACAACCCCTCCGATCCCCTTCCTACAGATCTGTTCGTGCAGCGCGCGTACAGATCCGTGAAACAGAAGCCTGCACGCGAGTGAACACAGCCACCCTCCCTCCCAGCCGTGAGCTCTGCTCCAGCTCTAATCTTTATGCACGCCTGGAGTAATCTTTACAAACCTGTCAGCCTCACCACTTTTAATTGCGTTCTCTGGGACATATTTGCTGTTGAAGATGTCACCTTACAATTACAGCCAATTTCTCAGGCTGACAGTCAGAGGCGTGGAGGGGGTGCAGGCTGGGGGAAGAGTGTGATGATGCTGGTGTGGCAGTCCGGATGTAGATGTAGAGGAAACCAGCGGTGGGGCTACTGGGGTGACTGGCTGGGGTTGCCCTGTCACATCTTACCTGTAGTCCCGTGGACTCCCTCCTCCTCCTCCTGCAGTGTGTCCTGCTGACAATGAATCAGCCCTGGCTCTCCCCCCATCTGACTCTTCCTCTCTCCGGCTGCCTGCTGGTGTCGCGTCCAGGTGTATGGGCGGCAAAGACTGCTGGCTGGAATGTCTGCCCCATCACCTCCGCACGTATGCATAAACACTCCCATGCGGGCTGGTTTTACAGTGATGCACTTGTCTTTGTTCTGGAGGTCAGGCAGGTTCTTCCACGTCGGTTCATTATTCTAATCTGCACCCATGGGCGTAGTGCAGGAGTGACTGGCCTGAAGTGCTTGTGAGTTGCTTGGGGTGGACCATGCGTGCTTTACTGCTCTGGCGGTTTATGCCAAATGTCTATAAATACAGTAAAATAACTGTGGTGGGAGGGAGCAGGGGAGCTGCTAATAGAGTGTCAGGCTGGAGGAGACCGATTTAACCTATAAATGAGAGGAGTGAGGTGGCAGCTGATTACCACAGTAATTACTGCAGATCTAATGCCGAAGCTGGACTTTTTTCAAGGCAATTAAGATGCAGGGAGGCAGCAGTTGTACCCCGTCACGCCCCTCTCTTAAGGCCACAGCTAAAAGACTGGGGACAACCCTGTACTCTGATCCTACCTTTCCGAAGCTTAGACCCGTAATGAGCGAATCCCACCAGTCCTTGGGCGCTGTGTTGCCTTTATATACAGAAAAGATTATAGTAATTACCCGTCCATGGCTCATCTCCCCAAGCAACATGCATCACTTGCAGATATAATAAATAACATATTGGCTGTAATTTTATATACCCACTGAAAATTATCCCAACACTGAGTAGTGTGTCTTGCTTCTGCTTTTTTTGGAAGCGGTGTGTGATGTCATGGCAGTACACACAGGCAGCGTACTTATTTATACATGCAGCATATTTAGAAAGCCACAAGCAGTTGCGTGCAAGTCCGGTCAGCCACTCCCATAGGTCAGCTGCTCTGCCAGGCCCGATGGAGTAGGAATTCTGAGGCAGGGAGGCAGGTGGTGTTGGCTTTGAAAAACCGAGCTGGGTTTCAGCCAGCGATTTAGAAGATGGGGAAAGGGATGGAGTTCTGTTTGGAAAAGGTTGTTATTTGATTTTCTTAACCTTGGGGTCACCAATCCTTTTTGTTTTGACGATCCCTCCAATCCCCCTCCCCACCCAGCTTGGGAATCAGCAATTTGTAATGGCGTTAGCTCACAGCTTCTGCCCATGCACTGCATGGGTGGGGGAACTGATAACTGTGCACCCATGATCTCGGACGTACAGGCCCGTCAGGTCTCGCACACCTTTCTCACAGCTGCCCCCGTGGTGCTGATGAGAGGAGAGGATTCTGGTGTCACCTGGGCACCTGGAGATCATCATGGGTCACCATTGAGCAACATCCTGAAGATATCCTAGCACTCAGTAATCCAGCTCAGAAAAGGCTACTGGAGCAACTTCTGGTCTTTCTCAATCTTGCATAAACCTTATGGAGGCTCCCGTCTGTTGAGCTTCATGCTGACCCTGTCCTCCTGCCTTTGTCCACCGTCGTGGTGAAGAGAGTAGATGCTGGGCTGTAGATTTACGTAGCGCTTCATCGTTTTCGCTTGTGACTGACATGTAGAGTCCGTTGAGTGTTTGATTTCAGATGCTGAACGCTGTGCCCAGTGTTAATAAAAATGGACTGCAATGATGTCCACCATCTCTTTTCAGTCTTTGCCAGCCAAGCGCTCCCTCTCCCCCTTTGATGTCTTCGTTACAATCCCCTCTTTTCACTCCCTCTCGAACCCGCCTCCGGCTCCAGGCAAGGCCAACGTGAATGTGCAGTGGGAAGAAGACTCGGTGGAGAGCCCGCCTGCCCTGCCAGTGCGGATCGCCTTCATGTTGGTGGTCCATGGCCGTGCCTCCCGCCAGCTGCAGCGCCTCTTCAGGGCCATCTACCACACTGACCACTTCTACTACATCCACGTGGACCAGGTACGACACTCCCCTCTCGCCCAGCACTCCTCATCACCAGTATTCACTGTCCCTGCTGTCAGGTCATAGGCCAAATCCAGTGCTGTTTGTATAACAGGCTTTTTGTGTTGAAAAGTGACTATTTTTAAACTGAACAGAATACTGCAAACCGAACAATGCGCTAAAGAAGTCTCAAATCAATGTTATTTGGATACTATAATCCAATTAGAAACAGTAAACCTTCTCAACACCCCAGAAGTCCATCACTTTTTAAATTACAAAAAAAAAAATCAAAAGATGTTTCCCAGGTTTGTCAGGGGTAAAAATAAGAATCTCCAGCAAACAGCCTGGGGACACCTCTCTAAAAAGACGGGTCATCGCCCACCCTCTGCAGGAGAGACAGATCCCCAGTTCCAGGAGTGAGAGGCTTTACTGAAGTGTGTACCTTTCACCATTGTAGTAAAGAATCTCTGTTGCAGAGGGAGCGCCAGCAGTCAGGCTTTTAAATAAATGCCAAGCATGGCACTTCCATCACATGATGTGGCACAGGTTATTACCAGGGGATCTGCTGCCTCAATTACAAATCTCTGTCGTGCAGTCTTTGTGTTTCAGTGTAGAAGCTGATACACACACTGCACCACTATCGCGCTGGTGCTCAGTGCTTACTTACAAGCTCCCTATACCACAGACCCATGCCAGGGAAAACTGTTGTCTGTTGTCTTGTTTTTTTTTGAAAAAGTTTCAAACGTCCCTGTTGAATTAAGGCAGAGTTGTCTCCCCATCCCACACAAGATGAAATATGAGTGGCAGCTATAAGATTACAGCTGTGCGGCTCAGACGTGAGACAACATTTTTGGAAAGAACTTAATTACAGTTGTATAAGCTGGGAGGTTTTGAACCAGTATCAGTTCTTAGAGGCCGAATTATCTCGAGATGTCAAGTGTGCAGATATCTAGAATTATTTTTGTGTTCTGGCTCATGATGTCTGTCTCTTGTACGCAGTGGTGATGAGCTACAATCTGTAATCAGAGTGTGAGTCACTTGCTTAAAATTGGTGCACTTTAACAGCTACACCAGGTTTTAGTCCAGTAAAGCAAATGCATATATTTATTCTTAATTCTCAGTTCCCCGTTCATTCTGAGCTTACACATGCATATTTTCTTTCATTTTGAAGGCAATGTTCTCCTTTCCCGTGTTGTTTGTCACTGGGCTGTATTCATGAAACCTGCATTCCTTTCTCTCCCCACAGCGCTCCAACTATCTGTACAGACAGGTAGTGTCACTGGCGAGTCAGTACCCCAATGTACGCATCACACCTTGGAGGATGTCAACTATATGGGGAGGGGCCAGCCTGCTGACCATGTACCTGCAGAGCATGAAGGACCTGCTGGCCATGAGTGACTGGAGCTGGGACTTCTTCATCAACCTGAGTGCTGCAGACTACCCCATACGGTGAGAGGCATGGTTGAAGACACGGGACAGGGGTTTGGGGTGGGGGGGCTGTCTGTTTTAGTCAAGTGAAAGGAAGGAATAGAGCATGGATAGGCAGGGGGTTGCACACTGAGACTGCAAAGTACGTCACCTGGCCAGGCATTTGAGGGAGAGTACAGAGCCCTTTCCATGTTACAACAAGTATGTGACACCATACCAAGCTCAAAGTGGAGTAGATCTGGCCACATGGCCTTGTCACAAACTCTCATACAGCAGCTTGAGTTCACTCCAATTCTCTACCAGCGTGGAACGCTTGAGCTCTATCTCCATAGCTACTGGTGGAAAAGACATAAAAGTTCTGTATAGTTTCTAAATAATTGTGGAATACCCACGAGAGCCAGGGCAAAACAGGGCTGAGTAGCCCACCTGGTGTGGACCAGGCTGGTATATGGGAGGTTTGGAGCTGCGATGTCGATATGAATTTCCGCAGCAGACAGATCCTCTCTGCGGGAGAGTCTGTCAGCTTATAGCCGTGAGGGGTTCTGTTAGTTGGTGTTAGCATCCCTATCCTGTGTAGATCAATAGCATTTCAGCTGTTATTTCAGGCTATCAAAAATAAAGATCCAGGAATCAATAACGATAAGTATGCACTGTATAGTAATAAGTCACAGCTGGGTTCTCGTGGAGCTATGTCAGGGCACTAGGGGGCATGTCATACACCCTTTCCTTGGGTAATCCGGGATTGCCACCAATAAATGCCCGATAGAGCATAGATTCCCTTAACGCCAGTAAGAAGATGGTGTGAGTGCTCAGAAGATGGTTGGCTTTATTGTTTGTACTGTGTGCAGTATGACTGAAATGCAGTATGACTGAGATGGAATAAAGCTGCTGATGTGGAGGGGGACACAGCTGGGGGACAGGTGTCAGTGTCCTCCTCCAGGGGAGGAGAACTTTAAGAGAGTGCCTGTGTGTTGCTGCAGAACAGTCAAGCACTCACACAAACTGATGAGTGCGTGGAAAGTGTTTATGAAGAGATGGGGTGGGGAGAGAAGCTGAGATGTGTTCTTAGCAAACTGCCTTCCTGCCAGGAAATTTGCATTTGAGGCATGTTGTGCAAAAAGGCTGACAGCAGGCGATTTTTATTTCTTACCTATACAGTAGGCTGCTGAGTGAAGGTGAGAGAAGCAAAGACATCTCAATACTGTGCAAAGAAGCCCAATCTGCAAAAAAACGCAAGCACTGCGGTGTCTTGAGAATGTTTTCTCGTTGTTCGAGCAAGACAGCAGAGGTGATGGCAGAGTTTCGGCATCATTTTTCTGAGGAGTCCTTTGCAATTAGTTCAGAAACTCTTCTTGTAGGGCACACGCTGCTGTTTAGTGGCTCTTAATGGGGATCTCAAGTGCTAACAGAAATAAGATGCTATTGTGATGCTGCTAATTAAATACTGAAACCAAGGTGAAATCCACAAATTAATCCGTTAATTTCTAAGGCAGGTCTTGATAAGTAATAATTCAATATTTTAATGTTTTTTAATTTCCTATCTTTTCTTTACTTAAATGTTTTCCACAGTTCTGTAGTGGGGCTTAAGTGAAAGCTGTTTTAAGAGCCAGTGTGAGGTAATTGCCAGAAACCTGTAGTACTGTGGCTCACAGACTGTTCACACACTAATCTGGGACCGATAACAGCCAAGAGGGCAGGTTGGGAGAGAGCAGATATGAACAAGCCCAGTCTTAGGCCTGGAGACACAATCCCTCTGTCAGGGTGTTCCTAATCAAAACTGGGTCCTGCAAGGCAGTCACGCCTCCATAACGGTTTACTGTAATGCCTCCAGTTCTGGTCATCTTCCCCTTTTCTTCTTCCTTTTTTCTTCTTCCCTTTGTCTTGCTCAATCCGTTTCGTTCTCCGAGATCCCGTGAGCCACCGCTTGTGCGCTGTAAGGGAGAGTATAGCCTGCCCTCCAACGTGGGTTTCTGCATTGTCTTACTTTTCCGATCCTTTGTGTCCTCTGGGTGGTAGCTGGCAAGCTTTCAAAACAAAATCAGGGGTGTAAACTGGCGGGGAGCCTTCTTTGCTTGTCGGTACTGCCGCTGGGAGTGAGGGGCAGTAATACCTTAGCTGTCTGTGAGGTTGTGTGATGTATCTACTATACTATACATCCGTGAGGAAGTAAAATGCTGGCCAAACTGTGCATGCTGGATTGAGAAACGCTGTTGTAACATCTGTTAACTATGAACAAGAAGCTTGTGGCCTTTGATAATCTAATTACCACAAAGGAGGTAAGATGGTTTTGATTGTATCCATAGTTCAGCGACACTCCACTGCTGGCCGTATGTGCAAGTCTGTGGCTGATTAAGAAGTCCTGCTGCAATGATCCTTCTGTGGCTGGGTGGGACAGGGTGGCTGTGGACTCTGTGCTCACTCTATTAGTTCTCCTCTAATTCCCTGATATTATCTGCCCTTCCGCATGGTTTGCTCTAAAAGCTACACAAAGCATGCTCACTCAGCAGGAGTGCATGCAGACCCAGAGGCAAAGGGATGGGTTACACACTCACTTTGTTAGTATGGAAAGGGCTCTTTGCTGCTTTTAGTTTTCTTTTTTTTTACTTTTTTCTTTTTATAAGGCAATACATCGGGTTGTATAGACTATTTAGAGGAGGACCGAGCTTCGTTATTCAGGATAGGCCATAAAGTCCCAAGTTTAGACTCTCCAGCTCCCTCTGCTGGAAGACAGGAGCCCTCCGTTTGCACAATCGGCAACATCATCTATAAACCACAGGCTGTTTGGTCATAAAGGATAAGACTGTGAGGTTTGGCAACAGGTTTCAAGATCATGTTCTTGAGACCTGGTTTGTGTAGATGGTTTTCATCTTCTCTGTTGATGTGCAACACAAGTCTTCCAATACTGAACTTCAGCAGTGAAGCTCGCTCTTATACGAGCTAAAATGTTCAGGACCAAATGCTTCCTGTTTAGAAAGAGTCAGACCTCTAGACCCAGTTTTTGGATGAAATGATGAAATATGAATAAAGTAAATTGGTTTTTTTACCTTGTTACTAGTATAAAGTCCAAAACAGTTAACATTTAACTTGTGTGCAGAACTGACTGCAGGACTTGTTCTTTTTGGTACTTTTCATTGATTGATTTAACCTCAGAATGACTTATAGCCCCAGGAATCATCCTGACCTTCTTCTCCCCGCCTTCCTTCTCTGCAGGAACAATGATCAGCTAGTGGCCTTCCTGTCTAAATATCGGAGCATGAACTTCATCAAGTCCCACGGCAGAGACAATGCCAGGTGAGTGTTCATCCTGCCCCTGCTTGTCCTTCGCGAGTAAAAGTTTCCTGGTACAGCACCTAGGCCCAGCCTAGCCAAACACACTCCCCAGACTGGGCAACCAGAAGAGCTGGATTCTCCCAAGGCTGGACGGATTTTGCAGAATTCACCTCCGTGGCTCCAGGGAGGGAGTATGACCAAAACACAATCTGTTCCTGGATGGGGATGAGCTATGAATGCCACACCAGCCTCTGAACCGTCTTCCCAGTTTCTCTTCTCTAGTCCAGGTGCTGGAACGCTACTGTCAGTTGGAACCTAACCAGTATGGAAAGCCTGTACAAAGCCCATCACACATTAGCCATGCGCAGTCTCTTTCAGAGAAGGGTCTGCGCCCAGTCATGTCGCTGCACCCTGCCTTGTTGGTTCTGTGGAGCATTGGTGCTGAAACCCAATTATCCCCCCCCCCCTCGGGTGGTGGGTGCTAATTAACCTTCTGATGGCAGCAGTCGAGGTGCAGCCATCGCACCCTGCCAGAGTTCCCTGAGCCTGTCCAAGACCACGCCACAGGAGCTTGCATTAATGAGGTGTTGCGCCACGCACCCAGCTGGCAGACTGGCTAGAGGGCTTTGTGTCACTGAGGGGAATGAATGCTAGTTAGAGCCACTGGGCCTGCCTCGTCTGCACTGTTGTCTCGGTTTTAATGAGCTGAATTTGTATTGAGAGGAAAACATGCCGAAACTTGTGCATGATTACAGATGTACACAGTAGTGTTTGCAGCGGTCCACCAGCACGCGTGATGGTTTACCACCTCCCTGCATGGAAGAATATGTCCACATTTTACCAAAAGACAAGTTCAGTAATAAAACTAAGTCAGGCTAACGGGTGTACAATGATTCTCATAGGAACATAGTTAAACCACCCAACATCCATAGAACCTCTAGCCAAACCAAATAAAAACTGATCACCGGGTCAGATGGAATTCCACGGAAAAATACAGATATCCTCTTCGGAGTGAGCTTAGCTAGGGTGTTTTCTCCACATTGATCAGCAAATGCATTTTTTTCTAGTTAACCATCTTAAAGGACACACTTTAAGCATCACCTTATTGACATAAGGGATTATGGAGGATGTTCTGCCGTTTGTGATGGAAAAATAAGGTTTTGCAGATGGTTATCCACTGCAGATCCTTCTGATCGGTGTCTTGTCTGCTTGTTTGTGTGCTTGTATCCCAGGTTTATCCGGAAGCAGGGTCTGGACCGGCTGTTCTTCGAGTGCGACACCCACATGTGGCGTCTGGGGGACCGCAAGATTCCCGAAGGCATCTCTGTGGATGGAGGTTCTGACTGGTTCCTCCTTAACAGGAAGTTTGTGGAATACGTCATCAACTCCCAAGATAACCTGGTCACCAACATGAAGCGGTTTTATGCCTACACCCTGCTGCCCGCGGAGGTAAGATTCTGAGTGACACTGGGTAGTCTCTGCAAGGGCACGTTCCCTTGCAGGTCAAGACAGGTGAGCTGGCGTGATGAAAAGTCTGGTCCTGTTTGTGTAGCTCTCTGCGCCCTGATCCAGAAGCTTATTGCAAACCAAATAGTCTTAAACAGGCTTTAAGCAGCAGGTAAAGAGCCAGAAAGAAAGTTAACCTTCACGAATTATGCAGGTCATTGGATTAGTTAGGTCATTCAAAGGTAAGCTGGGATAGAAGTTAAAACCCGGGGCCGTAATGTTTTAACCTGTATCTTCACAAGTGTCAGTACAATCTAATTTGTGCCGTGGGGTGTCTTTTATAGCATAAAGTGGTATGGAAACATCCAGTTAGAATTTGTTGGGTTGTTTGGAATATTAGTGCTTAGTCAAATAAACCTTTCCATACTTGGTTTGAGCCATGAAATTTCATAAGATGAATAAATTAAAACTACGAATAAGAGAAACCCAACATCTCTATGTATAATGTTTCAAGAGGCTATTTATACTACTTAGTACCTACCTTAGTTCTTGACTTTAGTAAAATATAAATAAATAATATTTTTAGCCACTATCCTTATACATCCTCTATCCTTAACGTACATAAAAGCCTGTGTTATAAAATTCTGTAGTCATTCTGATATCAATCAAAATCATGTGTTAAAAATGTATGTATAACTACTCCAAGACCAAGGAAATAACATTACGCATGAGTCATCACAGACAGGACAGATGGTGGATCTAAAAAGACTGTGACGATGAGGGTTAACTGGAAAAACGTTGATTCTCCAAGCACCGCACTGTATGCATACCTTCTTCCTCCGTGCTAAAGCTCAACAGCAGGCAGGTATGAGGAAGACATTTGGATGCATTTTGCTTGGGACTTTCCACTTTCCCCTTAGTTGTTCTATTTGGGTTACCGAGGTATTTCCAGTCCACTGAGGAGCTGTGCACTCAGGACTCAGCACTCAGGAGTGGGACTACAAATGCTACTCCCCCTTAACAGCATTGAAGTGAATCATCCTGCCTCTGCCTCTGCCCCCGTGTCCCGCAGTCCTTCTTCCACACGGTGCTGGAGAACAGCCCTCACTGCGAGAGCATGGTGGACAACAATCTGCGCATCACCAACTGGAACCGCAAGCTGGGCTGCAAGTGCCAGTACAAGCACATCGTGGACTGGTGTGGCTGCTCGCCCAACGACTTCAAGCCAGCTGACTTCCACCGCTTCCAGGTGAGCCTCCTCTCCGCGGCCCCGGTGGGGGGGCATGCTCAGTCCCGAACAGCGCCACCCAGGGGCCTCATCAGTCCCTGTCTGTTACTCCTAAATGAAGAGATTATCTCCCTTAGCTCTTTCTTCTCCCGATCTGAAGATAACCAGAGATAAAGGGAAGGTGATTGCCGGAGCAGATTTTATTCATATCGAGGAAGTCATGGGGAGTTGACCACAATCTTGTATGTGCCGCAGACAGAGGTGCTTTGGACTAGAGATAGGGGATTGTAAGTGGAGGTAGGTGTAAGTCCAGCACATGTGCCGTCAGAGAGAAATAGCAGCACTGTGTTAGATATGTAAAAAGATGTTCATTGGGGTTTTGCCGGATCTGACTTGGTACCCAGTCTTAGTCTTCTGGAGGATGTTTGTCTGGTTGCTCATGCTCACTTAAGAGCAAGTCACTGTGATCGTGTAGGGTGAGAGCACACCATGTCTGTGCCTTGCACTAAAAGGAAGATCTTGACAGGTGAGATTCCCAACTTGCACTTTAGTTAAGAATGTGTAACTAAAACAGGGGCATTAGTAGAGATGGTTAGGGATCAGTTTCAAGACAGTCATTCATAAAAAGAATTCCAGTAGCAAGATGTACAGGTTTACAGATTTTGTGAACTCTGAGACTGGACTGTAGATGCCCTGAGCCTTTTCTCCTGCTCCTTGTGTTGTACCTCATATCCGCTTACATCTGTTTTTAGGTCATGTGATTTTTGCATGTTTAAGTGTGTCTTGTGAGATGCGCGTCTTGCACAGAAGACTGAAACAAAATATGAAAAATTACAAGAATCTTCAGCTGCACCTGCAACACAGTTCTATTCTTATTAAGTCTTCAAAGTGTCCTGAAACATTGCTTTGTACGACAGATTTGTCCCCATAGCACCGCTTCTGAAAGTTTTACAGTTTACAGGAAAATTCCAGTCGGGCAGTAATTGCTTGTATCATTCTTTCATACAGTTTCTGTAGTCAGGGATGCAGGTGAAAATTTACTTTGGAAACCTGAAACTGACGAGTTCACACGTGGCTTAAACGTGCGATTCTGAAGTAACAAATGAATGTTTGTGAACGTTATGGGTTGTTGCACAGCTGCAGGCTCCTTCCCCCTGGCACGTCAACTCCTGGGATTTGGTAATTCCCAGGTAATTACAGCATTAAGCACTGGCCCCCCAACTGCCTTGGAAAACACAGCACATCAGGCAGACACCCTGCACACTGCTCTGTCTGTGCAGCTCTCCTGTCATGTTGTAATGTTTTTTAAATGGGGGATTTTCTTTAAAAGCCTGGAAAGGGAAAAACTCAATTTACCTTAACTTCTACCTTGATTTACCTTGAGGTAAGAGAAGAGTTTGGGAAAGGGGGACACGCTCCTGTATGAGAAGGAAAAGAGGGTCTCTTTGTTGTATCTTGGGGAGTGCTGCTGTTAATGATGTATCTGTGTGCCACAGAGTGTTCTCTGTCGGCCAGAGTTTTTGTGGGCTGTTTGTCAGAGAGGCTGCCAGTTCAGAGCATGAAGACAGGTCTGCATTGTCCCCACTGTCAGGAGCTTACTTGAGAGCGCTGGCCGCAGAGTACCTCGCCGTAAACTGTTGCCCTGCTCCAGCGTCTTCAGCACAAGAAACATTTTGTTTGTGAGCCAAAGAGCATAATCTAGCGATTTTCATGAGCTCCTGTCAACCACAATCGGCTAGTGGGTAAGCACAGAACGGCACTGTTCACTGTGAGTCCTCGCAGCTGCTCTTACAGAACAATTGGCCATTAACAGTGTTCCAGTCATGGACCTTCAAGAATAAGCTAATGTAGAGGGTGATGAAGGTGCTTGAAATTTGTTTCGGCAGCGCAGTGTTAATAAGCCCTTGTCCCCGACCTGGGAAGCTCAGTTGATAGTAACAGGATTTATTCAGAACAGCCCTCAGCTTCCCTCAGTATTATTACTTTTCTGAAGAATTACAGAAAGAATTTTAGGAGCTACTTTGAAGTACTTAAAAAGCTGGAATTGATGTTAATCCTTTGTCGTTTATCAGCCATCTGAGATTCAGCTCAATGTTTAACTTCATACTTTAGGTTTTGAGCTGTACGCAGCGGGTTTGTTTTTGCAAGAAAAGCTTTGTTGGATCATCTGTATCTGCAATTCTGAGCTCATACAAATCCGGTCAACCAGAAACTACAGTTGCCTCCAAATTTATTTACACCCTTGATTAGTATAATTTAAAACTTAATTAGCAATGGAATGGCAAGTGTGCATTGAGACTTTTGGACATTTCTTGAATTAAAACGTGAAAAAAATGTATATCGGAGTATATTAAAAGAACAAATATAAAAAATGAATTGCATACGTATCCGATAACACGTAACTGTTGGGGGAAAAAATATTTAGTCATTGGGTAATTTTACACAGCCTCAGAAAGTTTCTAGAAGCTTCTGAAAGTCACCTTAATAATTAAAGTCACAGAGGAGACTAACACAAAATGCTCAGCATCACATCATCATGGGAAATTCAGAGAAATGTCTGAATATTCAAGGTTATCGTTCAGGCCTCTTTATTAAGGCTGAACTTTGAGGATTATCAACCTCAACGGCTATCATTCTGGTTTGAAATATTTTTATAAGACAGCTGGAACAGTCCCAGTTTTGACTATAGTATCTATCATACAGTGAGGGCCAAGGGTAATTAGACAGTTACTGCCCCTCTAGTATGAGGACATAAGTTTTAGCCAATTTTGTATTCAGAAGGGATGCTAACTTACTCTCAAGGGCAATAACTGGGAATCTTTAAAAAAAAAAAAACTTCTGCATTATCAGGAAAAGTGTCTCCTTGGCGACAATCGAGGTTAAGCTTGTGAATCTGGTCTCTGTGTCCATGGCAACATAAAAAAAAGAAAAGACATGAATTTTCAAAATAACTAATTGACTCCCAAGTCAAATGGCACCACATGATGCAGTTGGGGGAAAAAAATCTCAACTGAATTATTGGACAGTATCACCACGAGTAAGATTTGCACAGAAGGATGAAGATCATGTTGGGAAAAAGAATATCATCCGTTCTGTTGAGAACAGAAACGAGCCAGTGCTGCTTCAGGGGTGATTTACATCCCCTGTTCTTGATGTCCCAGTTAGAACTAAGTAACAGGTGGATTCCAAAATCTGCCAAGATATTTTATCTACAAAACCCATGCCTTCCGTCAAGAAACCCAGGCTTGGTTAAAGTGTCCAAAAGGTTAGGAGCAAATAAATAAGCATTCTTATGACTGATCACTGCTGTATCTAGTACAGCACTTCTGTGAGCTAAGATGAGCTGGAGGAAGCAGATCACAAGGTCAGTTCATGTAGTCTGGAGGAGTTTCAGTGTGGAGGAGTGGTCCAATATCCCTCCTAAGAACCTCAGAAAAGGCTACAGGAAATTGCTGCTTGAGGCTATCAAAAGCCAAAGCACAATTAACAATACAGACAAGATATTTATAAATTTTGAAAATATATATATATATATGTATTTTGACAATGTTCTATTTCTACAGACATTTCAGGACAGTACTGGAAGCCACACATAAAGTTAAGGTATAAACTTGTTTTTAATATAATTGCTCCAAAATCCACTTTTGGTTACCCACTCATATGCAGGGTATGAACACATCTGAAGACTTCTCTATGGAGATCACTAAAAAATCCTCAGCACCATTTGGGAAAAAAAGAATAGGAATAATTTTTCACACCCACCTGGGATTGAAAGTTACGCAATTATTAGATTGAGACAGGTGTAATTCAGCTTTCTCCTATTTGTGTTTTCATACGGATCTGTGTACACAAAGCTCTTTTTTTTTACCACTCGCTGGTGAGGTAATCGCTCGATTCTCACTTTTCCCCACTCTCCTGCGGATTTTTTCCCGCTGGGACTCTTAGTCTGCCAGACTCACACTCCCTCTAAACCCCTGCAGCAGACGACCCGGCCCACGTTTTTCGCCCGGAAGTTCGAAGCCAGCGTGAACCAGGAGATCGTCAACCAGCTGGATGCCTACCTGTTTGGCAGCCTGCCTGCAGGAACACCAGGCCTCAAAGCCTACTGGGAAAACATCTTTGAGGAGCCAGACGGCGTGCACAGCCTCTCGGACTCTCAGCTCACCCACTACCACGCCTTCGCCCGTCTGGGGCTCGCCCGTGCCGCCACCTCCCTGCAGGGGGACCCCAACGACAGCAGCTGCAGGTAGGGATCCCCTCCGGGCAGAGTCTCGGTGCTCTGCTGCTCACCTCTAGGCAGAGAAGGACTCCATTGGACTCTCGTGCCAGAGCAGTCACTCTTACGAGCTGCAGGACCTGGTACAGAGACAGATTAGATACAATCTCATCTTCACATGTCTTTTTGCACAAAGGTAGAACATAGTCAAGAACAAGCTTTTGAAATACCCATTTCTTGATGGTGGGCTTACAGACGAGCCCCCAGATGACACAACCTGCCCTAGATCAAACAGCTGAATTTGTTACCCTGCCTCAGTAGCGCCATGCGATTCCAACACTGACCTCTAAATGTTTGAACACTTGACATTTTTAAGTGATGTTATTGCAACTTTCTGATACAGTACAGTCTGCATTCTTTTCGGTTTGAATTTATTTTAGCGTAACTGTTAGGGGTCACAGACACCAAAGTTGCTTACTGCGCTGGCAGATTTGGCGGAGATCTGATGGTCTGGTATTCCAGCAGCGATAGGGAACAGTGAACAGTCAGCGTAGACGTCTTCATTCCATTTCAATACCAGCCCACCACAGGACCGCTGCATCCAGCTTCTTAACTACCTGTCTGAATCCAGACCTTTCCGTCAGAAAAACCTGAGGTCCGCCACGGCCATCTGACAGTCCTGCAGTGGGCAGTACATGTGCGTTGGGTAGAGTTTAGCACAGCCGTTCTGGGACATGAAATATGGGGATGGCTCAGCGGAGGTTTGGAAACAGTTGGCCTTCAGACGGACGTTTTGAGGAAGCACAAGGAGATGTTTGTGCGGCAGGCGGCGAGGCGGGGGGACGGGGGCGTGGAGAGGGAGGGAGGAGGCTCAGCCTGGCAGGGAGGACGGGGGAATCTGTCTGCAAGGAGACCCTGAAGCCAGGCGCTGAATAGCGCCTCTGTTCCTGCTTGTGTGCTCACCACCACCTCCTCTGGGAGCGTGGGGGTGCTGGGGCTCTGGGCGCGGGGTGTGAATGTTTGCTGTTCAGCTCGTCAGGGTAGCGGTGCTGCAATGGAGCAGCTCCAGGCTCTTACAGAATACCGATGAGGAGGCAGCTTGCTCAGACTGCCAGGGAGCCTGGCTGCTGTACTGCTGCGGCAGCTCCCTCTGTCAGACCCGGTTGTTTTTCTGACCGTGGCGCTGTCCCGGAGCTTCTCAGCCTGACAACACACAGCTTGTGCCCAAACCCATGAGGCACCCAGGACGCACAGGCAGTGATCTTAACCTCCTTTCCTTCAAATCTATATGGGTTTCGAGAGTTGGGAGAGTCTCTCTTCTGGCAGTACTGAGCAACAGTTGGCCTTATGTTGAATTCCACTGCAGTTCTGATTAGCTCTTTGTCCTTTCGACGTCCTTATTTACTCAGTTAATAAAAGCCTGGAATTGAATATGTATAGGAATCCCTGTGGTCTATACAATGCCCAAACAGAAGAGATCTGCAGTGTTTCAAATATTTGCTGGTTTTGCAAAATTGCCAGATATTTTTATGGGCTATAAAGTCCAATGGTTGGAAATTTTATATTTCATTGTTGGCAGTTTCAGACTTTCAAACATTCATTCCTTCCATGAGCATGAAGAGGGGAGAAAGAAAAACCATGACTTGCGAGTGACACGAAACATGGAGTCTGGCTGAGTTCTGTCAAGGATTAGGAGAAAGGAGGGCTCTGGCTGGCCCTTCAAACAGAAGCTCCAAACACCCACCCGTTTCTCCTGATCACATCTCTGTTTGACGATTCTACTGGTACAAAGATATCATTCAGTACCTCCAAGCTGCAGATTATGTATCATGTAAGCTTTGATATTCCTTTCCTTTGTCAGGCACTTCAGAAACAAAAGGGTTATTTTCTATACCATAGAATTTAAGTTCTGAAAAAAGTTGCTCTATAGAGAATTCTGGGAGCTCCGCACGGTCTGTGGGAGTGCTGGAACCAGTCTGGTGTATTCTTAATTCTTACGCATATGGCAATGCAGCCAGTGGCAGTAATGCTGCTTAAAGATGACAAAAGAAGTATTCGGTGGAACCTACTTACACTTAATTTGTTTCTCCCAGGTACTTCCCAATGGGACACCCAGTGTCAGTCCATTTGTACTTCCTGTCAGACCGTTTCCAGGGTTACCTGGTTAGGCATCATGCTACCAACCTAGCGACCAGCAAGCTGGAGACACTGGAGACGTGGGTGATGCCCAAGAAAGTCTTCAAGATCGCTAACCCGCCCAACAGCTTCAGCAGGCTGCAGTTCGCAGAGGTGAGTGCTCCGTCTGTGGGCGAAGGGGCAGTCTTGCGTCTGTGCTGAGCTGCGAGGGCCCCATGTTCTGCTGCGGAGTCCAGGCCCCGCAGTGGTACAGCAGGAGCCCCAGATGAGAGCAGCGAGCTTTCAAGAGGTTTCTCAGACCTCGCGTGGGAGTTTTCTGCTCATTCTATTTAATTTTTTTTTTAGTTTTCAAAAATCTCCTTTGCCCTCCCGGAAAAGAGACATGCCTTGCTTTCTCCTTTATCTAAAGCTTTGAAATCCTCCCCCAGGTTTCTAGAGCTTGTCTACTCATTTCCCTCTTCCTGCGGAAAATCCCCATCGCTCTGCTTCCGCCAGCGCAGGCGTCAGATCAGACCAGCTTTTCTCGAACTTCCTCGTTGCGCTCGCGTGACCTTCCCTATCCGACGTCTTGTCAGATCATTTAGACCAGGGGGTCAGCCTCCAACGACAAGCATGCCATTGCTGCCACACAAAGAGACGGGTAACGCCACGCCCTGCTCCCAGAGAGCCACAGTCCCACAGGCTTCACACAGCCTCGCAGCTCCTCAAGCACAAGAAGCCTGGGGAATTAACACCCGCTAAGCCAAGATTCAGTTAAGTCATTCAGAAGGAAGAGAAGATCCTCTGGCTTTTTGGTACCTGGAGACCACTGTTCATCAATAGAATGCCGGAAGTACACTGGTCTTGAACGTTTGCCCTTTGTTCGCTCCGCCAGAGGTAGAATACAGCTGACGATACCTTAAATGTTACATTCATCGGGGCCTTTTACAGGGCGCCTGTCAGGTTTGGAGGGCCTCAAAGCACCTTTCCGCTTGTAATGTAATGTAATGTTTCTTTATTAGTCCTATACAATTTCTTGCATTAGGAATTCGTCTTTTCGCATACCCCAGCTTTTCTCCATGAGACACAGACAGGGAGAGAAGCTTGGGGTCAGAGCGCAGGGTCAGCCATCGTACTGCGCCCCTGGAGCAGTTGGGGTTAAGGGCCTTGCTCAGGGGCCCAACGGAGTAGGATTCCTCTGCCGACCGCGGGATTTGAACCGGCAACCAAAGTGGGAGGAAGTGCCACTCCCTGGGGATGCGCTGATTTATCAGAAACACATCTATTTATAGAGCACGACTCCTCTCACCTCTGGGTGGCTTAATATAGACACACTTACAGGCAGCCATTGATCTGTGGGGCCTTTTAATCAGCTCGGGTAATGATGATCAGAGGCCAAAGCCATCATCCGTCTCCGGTTTCCTAGTTCTACTGCCGAGTGCTCTCTCCCGTACCCCTCTTCTCCATCTTTCTCACATTTGGGAAAGTGCTGTGGTTGCGACTGTATTAAATATTCATCATTTTTCCGTTATTGTTATTTCGGCGCGTGCACGGTCCGATTCCACAGTGTGAAAGTGTCAAGATTATCGGGAAAGAAGATCGCCTGTCCCCCTCGCAACCACTGTCCAGCTGCACTGATCCGACTTCAGTGTAATAAAGACGTTTTAAATGAGCCTGAAATCCATTACAGCCTGTGCTCGGAAACCGAGGCCTTGATTAAATAAAATGAAATTAAATTCTCCTGCCAATCACAGATTACAAACCCAGTATATAATGGGCCCTGACAAACCACAAACCGTCTTTTGTTTTTAACAAATTGGATACTCCACTAGAGTAGTAAAGAAGTATAATGTGTGGTTACTGGTTGCAAAGGCTTGGATTGAATGTGGGCCCAAGCTGTTCTTCTGCAGAGGGGTCTTGTACTCTGTGCTGCTGGACCATGGCCCAGCCACTTGTCGGCGATAGCCATAGACAGCTAGCCTACCTCTGCCCCTTATATCAGCTGTCAGCTGGCTAGCATTTCCGACTCTGAATGAAGCAACCTTAATTGTAATTAAAAACGTCTGGTTGTCCATTAATTTCTCGCGTTAATAACGGAGCTAAGAAGTTTTTCTTCTCTTGTCAAAAGAAAGACTAAGCAGTGCATGTTGTCCGCTTGAGACGAGAGGCACGGTTTGAGATGGACATTTCAAGTCGGCTCAGTTCATCCATTCCCCCTCTCTCTCATTCCGCCACCTCTCCCCGTCCCCCTTCCTCTCCTCTCTCAGATCGGCACCGAGTGGGACGCCAAAGAGCGCATGTTCAGGAACTTCGGGGGCCTGATGGGGCCGACGGACGAGCCGGTGGGGATGCAGAAGTGGGGGAAGGGGGCCAACGTGACGGTGACCGTGGTCTGGATCGACCCCACCAACGTCATCGCCGCCACCTACGACATCCTGATTGAGGCCAGCGCCGAGTTCACCCACTACCGCCCCCCTCTGAACCTCCCCCTGCGGCCCGGCGTCTGGACCCTGCGCGTCCTGCACCACTGGAGCCCCGTGGCCGAGACGCGCTTCCTCATCACCCCCCTCGCCTTCCACAACCGCCAGCCCATCCGTCAGGGTGAGTACTCGGCCCCGACCCATCGCTGCCCACGGCCACAGCCGCCCTCTTGTCAGACCACTCGTGGAGACGTCAAGCTCTGAATTCCAGCTAGGATGATGTTGGACAATAACACAGGGCACGCTGAAGTAATGACAAAGAAGTGGGTGTTACCAGCTAGTTTTTTAAGCTTAAAATGCATCTTCGGTTCAACAGCTCTGCCTTGCCTAGCAGAGGCAGAGGCAGAGCCTCTGTGATTTACCTGCTCAGTTCCTCCCTGCCTTTGGGAAGAGGGGAAAAAAACAACTCCTGTGAATTCCAAAACTGCCTGTGAGACATAGTTTGGAAAGTATTAAATGACAGCAAAAAAATAATAATAATTTGGCACCACACCCGTGATTTATGTGTTGGGGTAGCGTTTTCGTTTTCCTAAAAAAATAACAAACAGTCCTTTTAAAAGCAAAGCCGTTGAACGTTTATAGGCTGGCATTCATGCCAGGTGGCAGTCAGCCGGTTCCCCTTGCGGGGAGCGCAGAGTCATCCTGGCGCGGCCGCGATCTGGCAGAGCCCTCTGTGGGCAGTGATTTTTATACGTGCTTCATGAGGACCCAGAGAACTGCTGACGCTGGTAACGCCCAGGTGAGAACCGGGGAGGGACTCCGAGAGGCGCCGCGAACACCAGTGCTCGAAAATAACCATTACGAGATTCTGAGGAATTTTGATCTTTACCTTGAGCACACAACCCTGCCTCTGTCTGTGTCGCTCTCCGTGCTGGGGAGTTCACAGGCTCTGATCCACTCCAGCCCTTATGAGAGAGAGAGAGATCTCTTTGTTGGCCATATACAATTTCTTGCAGTAGGAATTTGTCTTTTCACATACCCCAGCTTGCTCTCCATTAAACACACAGAGAGGGAGAGAAGCTAGGGGTCAGAGCGCAGGGTCAGCCATTTATACGGCACCCCTGGAGCAGCTGGGGGTTAAGGGCCTTGCTCAGGGGTAGGATTCCTCTGCTGGCTGCGGGATTTGAACCGGCAACCTTCCAGCCACAGGCGCAGATCCTTAACCACAGTGCCACCCCCCCGCCCCCTTCCCACTGGCCCTGCTCCTCTCGCACACCGCTCGCTCGCTCGCTCGCTCTGCGGCCCTCTTCCTCACCCCAAGTGCTCAGCGCCAGGCACAACCAGAGACTGCCTCATCCGTGTTGCTGGACATCACTGAAAAACGGCTTCTGTTTTTCCATCCAGTGCGTAAAGTGGCAGACATTTTTAGGAGGGGTTGTTACAGGGTAATGCAGAAGAAATGTGTAAGAAACCAGCGGTGACCATTCTAATTGTTTTGTCTTTTCCTGACAACCGTGCGTCATCTCTGTCAAACCTGGCCTCAGTCGTCTTCTTGTGTTTCCCCTACAGAGGATGCTCTGAGGTTGCACAACGGCCCGGCCAAGAACAGCTACATGGAGCAGAGCTTCCATGGCCTGAACCCCGTCCTCAACATCCCTGTGCACCTGGGGCAGGTGGAGGCAGCCAAGCGCAACGCAGGGCTGACGGGCAGCGAACTGGAGCGCTGGGTGGACAGCCTAGTGGGGGCTCTGTGGTCAGCAGTGGACGTGTGTGCCGTGGGGCCCAGCAGCTGTCCGGTCATGCAGTCCTGCGGACACACCATGTGGAGCGCCCTCAGCCCTGACCCCAAGTCTGAGCTTGGGCCACCCAGAGCTGATGGGCGCATCAGGTAGCGCCCTCTGCTGGTCAGGAGGCTCACCTGCTATTTATTTTTTTAACGCCGTTTACTCTTATTTTAAGAGCATTTTTTGGTTCCTAGAAATTATAAATAGATGCATAAATATGGACAAGCAGCAACAGAAGAAGGGGAGACTGCTAATATCTTTTATTCTTAATTCCTTTTGGTCTGGGCAATCTTTTTTTTTTACATTTTAGTTGTACTGTAAATGTACAGTAATATAACTACACTTCTTCAGGTGACCAACACGGAACCTGCCTCATCTCATTCTTCTCATTCAGCAGCAGCGAACGATGCGGCTGTGAAGTCAGAAATCAGGAGTATAAAACTGCTATTAAGCACAGGCAACAAAGTGTGAACATGTGACCACAAGGGATTCTCCTAAGCCTTAATGTGGGCACACTAGTATCACTCAGACGTGACTCAAAAAAATATATATCTTTTTTTTACTGCAGTCAGCCTGACTTTTTAAAGTAACTATGGTAACACTAATGAATTACCAAAGTCAATGTACAAATTCACCCCCCTGTCCCTGGCCTGGACTGGAAAAACACAGTAATCTGCTCGTGATCTGTAAGACCGAGGCTGCTAGTTTTTTTTTGTCCTCAGCTTGCAAATGAAGCCTAGACCCTTATCGTGATTGTCCCATCCTGAAACTCCACGCTCTGCTCTCTGGGTTACCGTCTATATGGGGGTGAAAGACAGCTGTCGAGAGTCACCGAGCTCCCACGTATTAGCAGTCTTCCCAGCGTTTCCTTGGACGCATGCTCATGAAAACTCGAAGGCTCAGCGCATCTGGAAGCCCCAGATGTCACAGCTTGGTTTATTGCTGATTTCTTATCTAATTTATTTTTGTTTTTTAGCTACTGCCGACTGCCTGAAACTTGAACTTTTGAGCTGTCAGCTGTGCTGGCATACTTTGAACAATCCTCAAGTTTTTTTAATTTGATTTTTTTTTTTCTCTGGCACAAACAAAAAAGTTTAAAAGAGCTAAAGCAAGAAGGTTTTAGTTATTTATTTATAAATATATATAATAATTTTAGTCAATGACTAATGACTAAGTGCTGCATTTGCAGCTTGGTGAATATGTTATCTTCTGTAAAGGAGCTGCCTTTATTTACAAAGGCCCCTAGTCTGTACCTGTAGGCTGGCCATTGTGTTGTCAGTCCTGTGCTTTCTCACTGTTGTGTGCTTCCCAAGCAACCTGCTAGCAGTTCAGCCATTACCTGCAATGGCCAGTGCATTTGGACAAAGTCCAAGAAAGGAAGGTTAATCCGATCAATGTGAAGACGCACGAAGAGTTTTTGTGGGATGGTCTGTTGTGGTGAAGACTTAGCCAGGACTTGTTCCTGGCTCGTGAGCCCAGCAGATACCAGGACATCTGCAACTCCAGGGGCCAACACAGTAGGAGGTGGCTGCAGTGCACAACTGGACTTTTGAGTCTGGTATCGGGTGGTTTTAGACTGGCAAAAGAAGCCGTTGGTAACTAACTCTTGTATTTTTTGTTTGCTTTTTCCAAGCACTTATTAAAGAGAGACTAAGACGTGTGCAAGATGCTTGATAGCTTTGCGTTTGGAGTTATGAAGAGGAGCTGGGTATGTGAAGCCATTCAGCACCAGCCTGTTCTCACTGGTTCAGGTTCTATTGTGGACAATCTTGCTTCATAAAATCGTACACATGTGTCTACCCCCTCATTATTGCAATCCTCCCAGAGCATTAGTCCCTAACCTGGTCGAGGGTGAAGATGGGGCTGTCCGCCCAGGCTGCCTGTGAGCTGGGTTCAGAGAGCTGAGCTAGACATTGCATCCGGGGATTGCCATTGAGTTCAGGTGCTCAAAGGTCATTCCTCTCGTTGGAAGAGGTCAAAAACACACTCACACTGTGCCCCGGCCTCTAATGCATCAACTGCATGGATGGCCCAGGATTCCCAACTGAAAAGAATATTTCACTGGGTCTTTGCTGTTGTGCTATACTGTAGGTCTTAACCTTAATCTCAGCAGGCATCTGTAGTTTCAGGAGTCAGAAATTAAGTTCTGCAGCACACAGCAAAGCAACACTTCAGACCTCCAACCACTCCCACTGGAACAATTTCTGAATGACTTCTGTACCTACTCACTCTCCCTTCCAGGCCCTGTGCCCTGGCTGTGTGCAGTTAGCTATGGAAAGAAATGCAAGGAGTTTCTATTCATTGTTCATGGGAGAATAGCGAGGTACTTGTGAAAGGACCAGTGGGAGGACTGGGCAAAGTAATTTCCAATGCACAGGCACATCAGCATGAATGGAGCTAGATACTGAAGTAACAAGTTGCACAGGATCAGAAGCAGTTTCCTCTGCACAGAGATGCTGCTAGCAAACCTGTGTTGATGCTCTAAAAGCTGAGATCACACAGGGGGCACTGAAGTCTGGGGGCCAATAATATTTATGTGCAGTCTTAACCTCAAGCACTTTGTCTGGACTGTTGTCACCTGGTCTGGGAAATACCTCACAGTCCTCCTGCCCACTATGGGGCAGTGTTCAGGAAAGAGCTCAGTCACAGAGCAGAGCAGGGTCCAGAGACACAAGAAGTGATGTAGAATTTTCCCCACTTCTGATCGCCCATGATCCAGCACTAGAACACTCCAGTTCTGTTCCCAATGCTTAAACCCTTAATTTACTCTTGTGCATTTTTTTCAGCTCCTTAAAAATGACAAATATTGCCCAAAGCTATGAATTTTACCTTGTGAAATGCCCCAACACTTTCAAAACTAAAAAATGGTGTCATAACTGAAAGGCAGAAGCCACAAGGACTTCCCATGTTTGGAATAAGGATTCCTGGGTTTTCCTGCAGACAGCCAGCCATTTTACCTGAACCAGCAGGCTGGAGAACTCTCCCTGCAGCCAGACAGCTGTTACACACCAGGCAGATGGAGAGCACCTTTTGTTGTTATGAAAACGGTAAAATCACACACACACACACATTATAATTATTCTATGTGAACAAAGAACTATTTTGTTATGAATAATATACGTAGATAAAAATGTACAGAAGTATTTTGTAATCAAAAGAAATTTAAAGAAAATTGTAAATAAAATTATGTTCAGAGCAAAAACTCAACAAAGGAATCTCACTCCTGGCACATGCAAGAGATGCTGTAGATATTTTATTTATTTGAGATTTTAAAATAAATGTACGAGCAATCTGACCTAGTTTGGATGTGACTAACTGTTTAATCGGCCCGTCAAAGAATCTAACGCCATATTGTTGTTCTTTTTTGGAAGTATGTATAACTACCGCACTCTTTTCTGAACCCACGTCCCTCTGTCCCAAGAGAGGGCTTTGTGCCTTAGGTGTGGTTCTGCCTAAAGAACATTTTTATTTTCCTGTCTGTGAACAACGACTTCTGAATTTATTTTTGCTTACTGCTGTATTTCAAGGAGGTAAAACTACCAATATGACATAAATGTGTATCATACCAAAAAAAAGCAAATCTGCCCTTGTAAATATAATGCTTTCTGTCTTACTGTTTTCAGTTTTTTTTTTTGGAAAAGAACTGCTGACTTTTAAAATAAAACCCTTGAAAATGCATGTGTAGCTTCTTATTCTTAATATGAAGGGGACACCTCATAAATACAGCCACATTCGATGCTGCCCATTTTCAGATTTTTAATGGCTGGCGTTAAGGTTTCAGAGAACAGTCTCACCATGCTGAGGAGCTGTGTTTTAGGGTGATAGTAAGTGTTTTAGAGTGATGCCATATATTGCAGATAAAACAATATGCAGGTATTATGGTTAAACTATGCAATTGTCACTCTCGGCTAAAAATAAAATATGGCAGGCCAACTCTTTGAAACATTTGTACTGCAAGTCAGGTACAAGGCGAGTTACTGTAGATAAGGAGATAAGGGATCTCGGGCATTCAGTAAACCAAAGTACACAGCTCAAAGGGACTCCCAGCAATTGGTTGGGCGAGCCACAGCTTATCAGGTATTCAGTCTCTAAATCATCTATAGCTTAAGACCACTGAGAAGATTAAAACTGGTCAAATGTTTCTTGCCCTTATGGACAGGACCCCTGGGTGTAGATGGCCAGTGGGGATAAGTATAGAAGACCCCAATCTTTCCCCAGTCCTTAATTAACAAGCAACTATCAGCGACAAGCATGAATAGGTACAGAATTCACGTGAAACCACAAGAGAACCACGTAACTACCATGACTCCTCATACGTGTTCATCTCCAAGATAAATCCAAAAAGTAACACACATAATGTAACCGGGATCCGGGAGCTGCGGAAGCCAGCGTAGTTTAGAAAGACTGGGATCACAGGCGAGGGAAACCCACAGACACTATGTTTCTGATCAACCCCACACAGACGCTGTGCAGGTCCCCTGGGCCCCAGCCTGCACTGCAGCGTGCCGGTGGAGTACCGGATCAAAGGGACACCGACAAGCCATTAGCTTTCATTACATTCCAGTGGGCCGGAAACTCTCTGTCTAATGAGCCAGCACGGGCCCAAGTGCCACACACCTGCCTCACCTGCAGCCCCACACCCTGCTCAGTCCTTCCTGGGAAGCTGCCGAACCAAACAAACGTCTCCGCCAGTTAGGGCATCGCGCCGTCACCCGCCCTCAGCAGAGCTGGGCGTCGGCTCGGGTTGCCCAGAGAGCTTCACCCCTGGAGGGAGCTGGAAGATCGCGCCAACAAGCGGAACGCGTGCATCCCGCAGCTGGGCATGGATGAGCGCGGCACAGCGGGGCATCGGGTGCGCGGTTTAAACTAACCGGAAAAGGTCAGAGCACTCGTGAGCCGGCAGCCCAACCACCACGAAGGCTGTAGCAACATGGCCTCAATCCCCCGTCCGCAGTTCAACTCCCCACATCGGCCACGAGTCCATTAATCCCCCTGGTCCTGGGGGCAGGACCACAAGGCTCTTGATGAGCATCTGGGGAAGAATCCCAAAGCTGCGAGGACAGTGATCTCTACAGTCTGTCGGGTGTGGACTCTCTCCGTTCTCCAGGTTGTTTTCTAAAAAGCAACGGAGAAGGCGTCTGTGTATCGGCTGATTTTCCTCACTTTCTAAGACCTTGGGGGCCCTAGTCAAGCCGGTTTTATGGGTCTAATTAAATCATCTGCTTTAGAGCTGGAGTTAATTTCAATTAAGCTGCTAAATTCCCCAATCGAGAACTCGTGGAATAAACATTTAAGACTGGGGCTAAGGAGCACTGATCTTTATCCCTCACTTAAATATGCAGAATATTCTTGTCATAAGATTCTTGTACCAGAAGGAACATTTGCAGTCCAGATCATCTCAAGTGCTGTAGAAATAACCGAAAGTCTTCCAAGACTTGGGGGCACCTCAAGGCCAAACAGGTCAGCACTGCAATTTCGATCAGCATCTAGCCACTCATCCATAACCTCAGACAATCAAATCGTGCATCATTCATGCAGAGATAACAGCTTGGCCCTCAGACATTTGTCTGTTTCAGTATCAATACTAATGGAGATCAGTCACGATCAATATTGATCTTCTGTCCTTGACAAATGTCATTCACTCTGAGCTGGGGGTGGGGGGGGGGGGGAACTTGGATGGAGAAGGGGAATTAGGACAACAGCACAAGCCTTGAAAAATGACAAGCAAGAGGTGGGGAGTGTAAATAAACAGGCACAGAAAACACATCCTCCTCTACAAACTCTGAGCCTCCATGTGACTTACCGAGTCTGTACATGTAAACTGTAAATTTCAATTCACGTTTATTATAGAGCAGGGAAGTGATGCTGTATGATCCTCACAGATACGATGACACACAAGAAGCAAACAGCCACGTAACCATAGGGTTAACTCAAATATGTTCCACGTAGAAACTGAATATGCATGCGGCTCTCAGGGGACCTTATTAACAAGATACTGTTTTGTTCTGTTCCGTTGTTCAGTCTCAGCCAGTAAAATGGCAACATCAGACACATCAGCGAAATGAGAAAGCGAAACCGCACAGATTCAAAGAGATTCACCTTCATCTCCAGGCTACAAGACTGAACGCGTGCAAGACATGGCACCCTGCCTGACTGCAAATCCGAACGGCGAATTAAACGCAGCGGTAAGAAACAACATGTGCCACTTCCTGTGAATGCGGGGTGGCGGCCCAGAACGGCTCCGTTCGCTTCTCGTTACTCTGCAGAAGGGAGAGGCAGCCCTGAAGCTCTTGATGAAGGGGCAGCACATCAATGAAATCTCAGACAGTGACAAGAAACCCACTGAAACAACAAATCAATAGTTTAAACATCTGTATCAACGCCGCGTACTAATGCCTCCCCATTTTCATGAGTGGCGAGATAGAGAATTTCTGAGACGAACTCGGTGCACTGCTGAGCAACACGGCCCGGGACTCACTGATCTGCTCAAGCCATCCCTTCTGGATATTGAGTGCTATCCCAAGCCCCCTTGGCAGTTTTCCCAAGTGTAACCCCTCAAAAATGTCCGACGTGCCCAGACTATCTCCTTAATCTCTACTCTGAACTGAGCAGCTTCCGGTTCTACCGATCTGTGATCTGAAGCCTCACTGAAAAGCATCCCTACAAATCATGCAAAGAAAGACCCTTCACGAGGCAGGCAAGGGTAGATTCGGCAGAGCTCCTGCACTGCGTGAAGGATAAGGGAGAGAGAAAGCTCCTGACACAACTCTAAAACAACAGCGCGTCTTCCTGACGAATGATACAATAAGGCTGGTCAGTGATGCGCACAGCCAAACCCCAGCTGAATACCTCCGCCTGCATGAGCATCGCAGAGAGAGAGACAGCGAGGGAGAGAGACCGCGAACAAGAGTGAGCGAGACAGACCTCAGACTCTTGCCTTTGCGTGGAGATTGCGGACATGAGGGACCCTGGCTCAAGTCTTCAAAATCCTCACAGGCACTGTGGCATAGTCAACCCACGGGACTTCAGAACCAAGAGCAGAAACACAAATCAGAGGACCAATTACATGGAAGCGCATTGTAAAAAACTGAGAACAGGAGGTGCTTTCTTACACTAAGAGCTGTTGAGAGGCAAAAACGCCCCAGTCGGGTTGTTAAATCGGATACCCCACTTTCTTTAAAGAAACGGATGGATCGGATCCTTGTGACTGTTAACCAGACTAGCTAGGTAGCCTCCTCTCATTTGTAATCTGTTTTAAATGAACAGATCAACAAGCAAACAAGACAGGGCGAGGGTGAGAGAGAGACAGGAGAAAGAGGAATAGATTGAGCAAAGAAGGAACTGACTGTAGTTTGTATACTTTATGTTACTGTAACATTTAACTCAGTGAAAGCAGACTATACCTTTTGTCACAAAACATCCTCTTTCTCCATCTACAAATTTAACACCCCTTCCGGGTGTTCAATTATACACAATACTACTACAAAACCCACAATTACAGAACATCTAACTGACCAACGATACACACGTCAAATCTTTTTCAGCGCCTTTCTTCTCTCCGATGAACAGCTTCAGGGTCTCTCACATCCTCTCTCTGGCATCGCTACCAGATGAGCCCGGGAAGTGCAACAGCACAGCTGCGCAGATGTGTAAAAAGAGTTAAAAGCCGGAAGCCTCAACAGCTGTCGCCACACACACATGGCTTCTCCAGCCTCCAGCCGTATCCGAGGAGAGCGCAGCCTGCGCGTTGGAAAACACGGATGTGCCCCAATCCTCTTTAGGAGAAGATCCCAGGTTTCAAATGGACCTGAAGGACCACCCTGGGACCGGGCTCGGGTCCAGAACCACGTCACAACGCACTCCTCCCGCGCGGTCCGCACCGACATCCGGGACCAGGGGGCACCGTGACCTCGGTCCGTGCCGCCGCCGGGACCCGAGCAGATGGAGACGAGCGGGCGAGACGCAGCGGAGAGGAGGTAGGCTTGGGAACCGAGGCTGAGCCGACGGGCCCAGGGCCGGCTCAGCACTCCATCTCCGACTGGCATACAAATGACATTGGCAGGTTTTGTGGTGACTAATCTGTGTACGCTCGCTTGGGCACGCAGAAGAGCTGGCTGGACCAGGCTGTCCACATGAAACCAGTGCAGCCCCCTCCCCACCCATCCACCCTTCGCAGCGAAACCCATTTTGTTCAGGATTTGCAAAGCGGAGTCACAGAGGGCAACAGCACTGACAGCACTTCACACCACCTTGCTTTTCCAACAGCCTAAAGGGTGCCATTCCGGCCCCTTTCCACTTATTAAGCTACGCTAATAACAGCCTTGTAAAGGCTAAGCACGCCACTTTATGAGACACGAAACATAAAAGTGCATTTAAGAGTGAAAGGAAAATGTGAAACCCATGATTACGGAAAAATTGCACTGCACTGACAACTGCAGGAGAGCGAGAGGGATGTGGGGGAAGACAATATGTAACCTGGAATGGGATGCACTTCCACTGTTCTAAAAGATCGAGAGCTTCTCTAAAAGATCCGTTTTCTTGCCCGTTCTGCAGGCGAATTTGCAGACAGTCAGCGCCGCCGTCTGCTGATCACCTTTCATTTGTCCTTACCCCATCACATCAACCCTGCCGAATCCTTCACATGCTCTCCTAACGTTTCAGCTCGCTCAGCTTTCTTG